AAACATTTTTTTCGATTTTAAGGAATTATGTACGATAGAGACTTGGTTTTAAAATATATATTTAGTTAAATGTGTCTTGTTCGCCAACTTTTAAAAATATATGTATACGAAATAAGTTTATTCTCCACATGCATTTTAGTTCATAACTTAAAAGAAATATTTGGATTTGTTTTATAAATGAAATCTAACTTGGAGATAGTGTTTCTTAATCAACTATAGCAGCAGGTAAAAATATCCTTCACCGGGATGGGTTTTCTATTTTTTTTTTATATATTAAAAAAAAAATTTTTTTTTTTAAAGTGCAAATTTTGTTTTTAAGTCAGTACCGGTACTTGTATTGTATAATACGTATAATGCCAACACAGTTGGCACCACAAAGACAGACATGCAGACGACAAATGATACAACACAACAATGAAATACAAGAAAATTGAATGTTCATGTTTTACTATGCTGGTCTGTTCACAATAACCTGGAGACTATTCACAGTTTAAATACATCGTTTAGAAAAGTCATCTGAAAATACGTTACTACAAAAAACATTCTTTTGCTCATCTCAGAGTTTATCTCTCTCCATGTACATTTATATTGTTTCCAATGTACTGCCGTTTCCTGGTGTGAACTTGGATGTAGGAATAGGTGTTCAAAATGTCACATCACAAACTTTTCAGCACGCAAGGATGGTTTCCAACATTGGTGCACGCAACACCTCACTCAAACAAACACAATAGTATCCAGTACTACAATAATAGAGACTGTGTCGGTTTCTTTCCTGGCCACGCTTCTTTCGGGAAGAACTTTTTCCTTGGCTCCATGTCTTTTAGTCCCACAGTAACTGGGGCTGCCTGGGCCTGTGACGGTGACGTTGGCTCCACACTCGGTCCAACCTCTGGGGCCAAGTTTGGAACAAAATTAAAAGAGGCACCACCAGGTGTGGTGGGGTAAGGTCCTGTTGGTGGCGTGGTCGGCGAAGTGGGTGATATCTGCATCTGTTCATCACTAGATGCCGGGAGATCAGCATAGAGAGAGCGTGTGTAGGAAAAACTTTGTAACCTGCGTGTAATGTTCTCCGCCATGCTTGGGTTGGGCACACTCTCAGTTTTCTTTTTCTGTGAAGGATAACGGAAAATATAACAAACATGCAAATAACTGATTTATAGGGTTCCTAGAGCTTTATGTGCGATTTAGCTATCAGTGACATCTGTTTTGACTACTTTTACCAAACTTGACCGGCATTCTAGTTTTTACTCAGTTTCCCATGATGCAATTTGGCGGAGCTGATTATTGGTCTCATGCAATTATGAAAGTTGTCCCAACAAATAACTGAGTGTAGAAAATGAGAAATTCAAAACTTAAATGTGATTTTTGAAAACCTGGTAAAACCTGCATTTGAACTCAGTAAAAGGTTTGTTTAATTTCTTCATAAGACTCCAATATAGTGGCTCTCTATAGAATCAGATAGTGGTGCGCACAATATGACTTTAGTGACAAGAAGTTATAACAACCATTTATCTGGTTACCATTACTCAAACACCTTATCCATTATGAGTGAACTCTGATTTCATGATATTTTTTTTTATTTCTTTAATACCGCATGTTGCCACTTTTCAGTCCTCGAGAGACTGTTATTAGCTTTGACCAATCACAGCAACCCATGACTATAACAATACATCCTACACATCAATACTTGGCATAGCCGCATCACCCGTTT